GGTCCCCAGGGCTGTGGGGAATGCGACGCCTTTGTCACCGGCTAATTTTGGCTCCTCTGTGCTCTGAAAACAATCCCAAGGCAGCCGGGAGGAAAGATGCTGGAGGCAGGGCCCTGCGGGGGCTTTTGCCTTATAAAGCTCTAACGGGGCTGGAATAAAGCCTGGGTGGGTGGGAGCAGATCCCCTGCGCTGGCGCGTGGAGCTGGGGAGATGTCCTTGGAGAGGCCTTGAGGAGGGTGGGCACGGGGGGGGGATTCTCCTGAGTTTACTGGGACTTGTCCAGTGCAGGTCCAACAAAGATGGGACCATCACTGCCATTGCCACTGTCACCGTCACCCACCTCACACCAGCCTGGGGGGCTGCTGGATCACCCCCCACCAAGGCAAACCCATCCCCGTGGTGTCCAGGTGGGGGGAAGGAGCCAGGGAAGGTGGCTGTGTGTCCCCTGCTCTGCAGGACAGGGGGGCTGCCTGTGCTCCCCACTATGGGACCTGCCCTGTGCATGCAGCTGCGTGTCCCTCCACAACCATAATAACCTCGGGATTAAAATTCCGGGCATTGTCCCTGCTGGACTGCACGCTGGGAATTGTTTGCTCCTAAACTTGTCCCTAAAAATATCCCTGGGAACAGGTGTCACCTCCCCCATGGTCCTCTGCAGCACGGGGCTTTGCGGGGTACAGGGGGTGAGACAGCAGCTTTTTTGCTGCTTTTCAGGGATTTCATGGGGAAAACATAGAATCATAGAATGGTTTGGGTTGGAAGAGACCTTAAAGATCATCTAGTTCCAAAATCAGGACCTGTAAAGGGCTGAAAGCTGCTTGAGCATCCCAACCCGCTGCGCTGGGCGAGTCTGGATGGTCCTGCTCCCCAAAGAGGTGACTGTCCCATCCTTGGTCCCATCCGATCATCTGGCCTGATGCTGTAACCCCACCTTTGCTGTTCTACCCCATCACCCCTCAGCGATGTGCCCGGGGTGGCTTTGTCCCCCTGCTCTGGTGGTTCTGGTGGCTCCAGGGAGGCTCCTTGGCCAGCGCTGCTGTGGGGACATCGCTCTGCACTTGCAGATGTGTGCACCATCATGCACGGGGGTCAGCACCACATCAGCTCTCCAGGCTGCTCATATTCCCCCACCTCCCCTTCAGAGACTTTCTGAAAGACAAAAGAAAAGAAATACAAGAAAAAAAACCCCAACAACAGGAGATTTTCTGCAAAGAAAAAGCACTGTGGTGTTTCAGCTCCTGGTGTCAGCTTCCTTGCAGACCTCAGGGCTTTTCCAGCATCTCTGATGTTGGTTTACACCAGAGAGGAGCAAGGCAGATGTGCCATGAGGAATTTACACCAGAGAGGAGCAAGGCAGATGTGCCATGAGGAATTTACACCAGAGAGGAGCAAGGCAGATGTGCCATGAGGAATTTACACCAGGGAGGAGCAAGGCAGATGTGCCATGGAGAACACACCCTGTCTGCACGGGCACGGCCATTGCACCATGCCTGACCCGGCACGGCTGTCATCTCACACACAACATGTGTGTGAGTAGTGGTGTTGGGCAGCCAGTGCTGGCCAAACTGGGGTGATTCCCATGCAAACAGCACAGGAATTCACAAACCACGTGTGGGTCACGGGTGCAGCACACCGCGGGTGCACTGACACGCGTGGGTGATGTGTGTGTGTGTCACCTCGTGTTGGAGACGGTGTCCCAGGTGTGTGTGGCACGTCACGGGGCGCTGGGGCTCGCAGCAAACGCCTGCACACAAGAGGGGATTTGTGCTATTTTTACTGACCACTTGCAGCCGGGCTGTGATTTAATACACCCCCTCCGCCGCCGGCCCCCGGCAGTGCGCGGCTCTCCGGAGGCCAGACATCACCTCCTCATCACAGCCCCAAGGTAAGGTGCTGCCCTGGGTGTCCCCCCACCCGGGACTCCCTGGGTGTGCTCGTGGTGACACGGGTGTGAGCGTGAGACCGACGGGATTTGCACATGGCAGCAAGGAGCACCCAGGAGATAAAGTAGAATTTCTGCCCCTGTCTGAGGTTGCTCAGACATTTTCTCTGCTCCTGGAGAGAGGTTTCTCGAGACTGCAATGGGGAGATATCATATAATTACTTCTAATTACACTCAGCTAAAATACCCAGCTGGGCTTTGGAGCTCAGATTTGCTCGTTTTTTTCTGAAAACTGGCAAATGGGACCGTTTTGGGGATGACTTGCCCATGTGTCCCAGCCTGACTGCTCATGGTGAGCAGGAGATGAGGTTCAAGAGTGCTTGGTGTGGCATCATCGTGTTGGCTGGGCGTGCGTTCGTGGTATGTCCTGGCCCCCTGGGATGGGGGACGATGTCAGGATTGACTGTGTTTGGGTTTATGGGGCCATTTCTTTTAAAGATTTCTGTGATCTAATGGTTTAATAAGCTTTGTAAGTGTAAGCTTTTTACAGCTGGGGGGGGGGAATGCAAACAGTGCAGAATTAGTTTGTCCAGATCCTCTCATCCCCATCAGAGAGCAAAGTTTCTTGTGGATGCTCCAGATCCAACTGGAGCCCAAAAATCCCTGCATGAGATTGCTGGGGATGTCTTACCAGCACAGCTGAGTCCCAGCCATCCTCCAGGAAGCCAATTTGGAACTATCTGACCCTAAAAATTGATTGACCTTGGTAGAGGTCATCAGCCTGAGGTGCAGTGTGGGTCCCACCTTCTAGGGACGCCGGGTTTTGCTCTGACAGGGAATGTTCGAGACACTGAGAGGCTTCACCCAGCCCTTGCTCACCTCCAGAGAGCCAAAGGCTTTTCTGCCTCCCCCGAAATAAATTGGGGGGGGAGCAGCTGGGACCCGACCTGCTCAGTGCACCAGTGTCAGGCAAGAGGAACCACCTTCCCTGTGTGTCCTCCAAGATGTTTGTTGTATCACCAAAAACCTCCAAAAAGGCATGAAACCAGCGGTTCTGGCTGCATCTGACTGATGCAGCTTTTGGGAGAAAAAAAATTAAATTTTTGTGATTTTTCCTTGTAAATCCA